TCCAGGGTAATCATCTGTTGCCCGCTGTCCCACAGGCCATAGCCGGCCGGAGTCTCCATGGGGCCGAGTTGCTTATCCCCAGATGTCTTACGTCAGCGGCGCTCACACTAGCGGATTACTGGCAAGGGAATTCGTGTACATACCAAGGGAATGTCTTCTCATGGAGTCATTGGATGGCGATGCTGAAGCGACAACGACAAGGCCGCGAAGGCAGCCGCAGTGTCAAGTCACCTGTTCTTCAGAATAGCACCACCAGATCTTATGAAGGATCATACTTCTGAGAAGGCATCTCGCAAACTGCGCAAGTCGAGTTCAATTGTGGTTAAAATGGTGTCTGCACGTAAGTTGAATGATGTGGCATACTAAACTGATGAGATGTAAAATGCACTCCCTCCTCTACTATGAATTCTACCCCTATCCACACCTAATGATTTTTTGAATACACATATATTAAATGCTCCACTGCTTTCAACTCCTTCCTCTCTTCCCCCATCCCCCTTCTCTCAGGATTGGAGTTCGAATCTACTCCTCCCCCCCAAGTACCCGCCCAACCCCCTCATAACAAGCAATCATCAACCCACAAGCCGGCGCCACCTTCCCGCACCTCGCGCTCGTCCCTCTAAAGACGGCTTGCCACCCTTCTTCTTTGATGACGTGCCGGCAGAGGGCGAGGGTTGATGGTCGTACCCGTTTTTGGGGGTTACCACCGGTAGAGGTTGATGTGGAAGAAGAAGAGGAGGAAGAAGAAGAAGAAGAGGAAGAGTGGTGGAGAATGGAAGGAAGAGAGGGGAGAGGGGAAGAGAATGAAGGCGGACAAGATGGGAGAGGGTTGAAAACCTGTCTCCTGGTCTTGAGCACATCAAATGGCTGCGTCAACAGCGCCGCAAAAGTCCCACTAAAAAACCCCGCCGTAAAGCTCACCCCCGTCGGCCCCAACCCTGCCCTATCCGCCCAGCTCATCCTCCCTCCCTCGCGGGATCGCGTGAGGAACGTTTTAAGTCCTTCAAAGCCGGCCCAGTATAGCCCGGAGAAAGGGACGTCCCGCCAGAGTGTTGGGCCGAGGCCGCGATAGAGGACGGAGAGGCCTTTGGAGCGGGTGAGGGAGAGGAGGTCGGAAGAGACGGAGGCGTAGGTTGGTGGGGGTTTGTTTGCTACACCTCTTATCAGTTACGTCCACTTGAAATAAACGTCCACTTGAAATAAGAAAAGAAGAGGAGAGAGGGCGTACGTGTGGGAAGGGCTTGCAGCCTCGTCCGGAACATTTCTATGGGCGAGATGACGGTCGCACTCAACGTCCTCGCAAGACTCCCTGCTATCAGCGGTACAGGCGTCAGACTTGCAGACAATGTCGTTATACCCGAGGAAGAAGACCGTGGGGGAGTGAGGATCTGCAGCTGGTCGTCTTCGTAGATGAATCCTTCTTCTGCCGTGGTTGGAGAGGTGGAGGCGTAGAGGGGTGTTTCGGCTGGGAGAAAGTAGGGGGAGATGATAGTGGAGAGGTGTTCGTAGCCGAGCATATAGATTGCCGACGAGGGGATACCCATCATCCTGCTTCATCGTCAGCTCAAATCCACAAGGTCAAGAATATACGCACATGGCAGTCCCAACACCCTTCCATAATCCTTTCACCCCCGCCTCAGCCCGTACCGCCCTCACTTCCCTCCAAAACGACCCTCCAAGCATCTTCCTCGACTGTTCCCCAAAAGCAGCCCCAGCCCCCCGCAAGCGCTGAGCATCAACCTGCCTCGGTAACACCAACACCCCGCTCCCAGCCCTCGCTACTTTCTCGATGACGAGCGTCTCGCCCCATATCCCCGCCCACTTTGAGGGGTTCAAACACCCGCTCGGGGGGGCCACAGGCGCAGAGGAAGGACGGAGGGCGCTGAATGACAACTGGCCTTGCGGTTTTGTACCGGAAGCCGAAGCAGGCGGAGAGGGGGAGGGGGAGGTGGCGCATGTGGATGCGGGGTTGGGGAGGGTGGTTTGGCAGCATTCAGGGGATATGGGTGGGGGTGATGGGTGGGAGGGGTGAGGGGGGATAGTTTGGAGTCGGGTTTTGAGGACGTCGAAGGGGGTCACTGAGGGGAAAGTCAGTATAAAGGATTTTCGGCCTTCCACGACAATCATTTCGCATGCCATTGTCAAGTGATGGGACATGGCAAAGCAACCCCTCGCCATCATCCTTGAAGACGGGACGCCACTCCTCCACCGGTGCTGAAATCGAAAACTCACTCAGCAAACTCGTAGCCATCGCGCCCGTCATCGCCGCCACTGCTTTCGCCCCAAACAGCCTCGATTTACTCCTCCCGCCCCACTTCTTCCCCTCCCCCTCCCCCTCCGCCATCATCCCCACATCCCCACTACCATCCACACCTTGGTCGATTCGGCCCATCGTCCGAAAATCGCCACGCGCTGGTAACCGACTGGGCCCAGCCTCCGGGTTCTCTCGCAGGCTGGTGCCACCCTGTGTCCACGGTGCTGTCTCTTGTCTCGGCATGTTCTGCCTTTGCGTCGTATCGTTGTGCTGGCGAATGGTCGACAAAAATCGAATCAGATAAGATCAGAAGAGACCCGAAAGCCAGCGGCGGTCCTTGCCGCCCTTGCGAACGACCGCCTGACGTAATATGAGACGGGGCCAAATTTGATCCCTCGCCCTTCGATTCCTTGCTTTCCCATTGTTCTCATCCATCCATCCACGCAAACATCAAATCAAATACCATACCATGCCCTACTCTCTCCGCACACGCACACGCCAGCCCCTCGCGCCCCTCGACCTCCCAGAAGACCGCCCCATGCTCAAACGATCCCCCTCAAGCACCAGCCTGAGGTCCCCGCAGAAACACTCCAAACTCGATCCCCCACCCTCCCCAGGTCCTTCCTCCTCGAGATCACGATCCGTACTCCGCTCAGGCGGGATGGAAGGGAAGCGGGGAAGTGTGACCCCCAGGATGAGCTTGTCAAAGATGATGGGGAGGGGGGAGAAGGGGATGGATGGGGCGAGGTCCCCTGCGAGGAGGTTGTTTGGTCCGGAGACTCCAACGAGGTGGGTCCTTCTTCCTTTGTGCAAAGGTACCTTTTTTGCTGACGAGATGCTGTAGCGGGATATCGGGGGCTATCATAACGCCACCAAGGCTCGCGCCATCACCACCCATGGACGGATCCACCTCATCGCCCTTTGTCGTTCTCCCCACCTCATCAAACGTGCAAAATCTGCCGAATACTGGTGCTGAGAATGGACAAGATGGGCAGCATGATCCGGGGTTCGTGATCTTGCCTGATCCCAAGGGAAAGGGGAAGAGCAAGGCGGAGGCGGGTCGTACGGCTACCACCCCCACGCGTCTACGCCGGGGCCGCTCACGATCCCGATCCGTCGCCGCCGAAGACGGCGCAGACCTCCCACCACTGGCCTCAGAAAACCAAGAAAACATCCCCCCTCCACCCCCTGTCCCTTCCCTCCCTCCACATCTCCCCGAATACAAATCAAAGCTCCCTCCCTCACCTATTTCTCACCCATCATTATCACGTTCCACCACCACCACATCACCTTCCTCTTCCCCATCTTCATCCCTCCTGCCGCCTCCGATGGCGCATTCGGCGTCGTGGTCGGGTACGCCGGGAAGGAGGAGGGAGAGGTCAAAGTTGGTGAATGAGCTGTTGATGGTACGAGGGGAGACGGAGATGCCGTCGTTCTTGGAAGAACAAGCAGGGCTGGAGGAAGGGGACGAGTTGACACCGGGTAAACGGGTCCTACGCTCAACGAGAGGCAAGCAAAAACTGGCCGAGGAGGTGGATCGTCTATAGACTTCTTGCTGGGTTCGGTAGAGCGGTCGGAGGGGTTTCTTGATCATAGATCTTGGCTTCTTGGTGTGGTATACTTTCTCGTGTCTATAATTGCTTCTTCATAAATCAACTGTATTAAAATCGCGGACATTCCTCGACTATCTTTCCTTGGCTCTTAGACAGGTTTCTTGAGGGTCAGGCTAGTGGGGCTCAGAGCCGGCGGGGTTGTAGGCATTCTCATGTATCCTTATTATCGTTTTTTGATTGACGCGTGGTCGATATTTCCTGTATTCACCAAGCTTTTGCTTCAACATCTTCTCCACCAGGCATATGCTCGTTACTCATACATCAGAAGATACATACATATGCGGTATACGGACCACATGCCCAGGCAAATGCTCGTACGAGGACAAGTGGTGGCGACAAGAAAGAAAAACACGAGGCGCATGAAAAAACGCGTCCGCGTGTCCCCACTTTTGATGGGAGATAAATGACTCGATCCGTGTAGACGCGTTTTCAGCCGCATCATCCTCTCTACAGTCCATCTGAAGGGTATGTACGGTTGATGTTGGGCTTGGGATGGGGGGTGAGGGGTTTGATGGTTGGTATGCATTGTAGCGAAGAGTGGAATGATGGTTAGGAGGGAGATGGGGCGGGAAATTGCCCGATATGGTAATTTCGGTTGCTCGCGTGGAGGGAGGTTCCGGAGCTTCGGAGCTTGTGGCGGAGTCTCAGTCAGGGCTGAGCTGTGGTGTTGGTCTGACAGTTGACATCGCTCGTCCTCTTGTTTGGTGTGCAGCAAACTGACAGAAAGTGTAGGGATAGGGTGGGGCTTACTGTTTCCGAGCCGTCTCGCGGTACTTGATTTGCTCGGGGGTGAGCCCGTTGTGCTCGGCATCCCCAGCCCTCCGCTCGATATCCTTGCAAGAATTGAAGCACCCCCCTGGCTTGTGACTCGACACAAGCCGGCCAGAAGCACCTCTCTATTATATATATTGACAACCGACAGACTTGGGAAATTCGAGCACAATGCGCTCACCCTCGATCAAATCCGATTCCGCGAAACGGCTCAAAACAGAGAGGTAGGTTTGATGCGCTGCCCGCGGCCATGGTTGGACAGCAGCTACTATGTCACTAGGTATACAGACTCTCGTGCTGCGTATTGCAAACAAACAAATAGCATTGGACAAACATGTGTATGAACAAGATGTTACAAAGATGACAACCACTCAATTCGAGTCAACACCAAAAGACAAAAGATTTAGATTAAAGGCAATGATAACTTGCGCATCCTCTCCACTCCGCCCCTGCGCGAACCCGACCCCTCCGGCCTACTCTTCTTCCTCGCCTTCTCCCCCTCCCCAACCCTAAAACTGACAACCTCCAAACTCGTCTTCCCATCCCTCTGACAAAGCACCACCACCCTATCCCCCCTGAACCCGACTCTCCAAACCGCATCACACGGTTTCGTCAGCTCCCTCACAAACCTCCCCGAATGCAGATCCCACAGCTTTACTCTTCCATCATTCCCGCCGGAAAGGATGAACTGATGGTTGAACTGAAGGGTAGTGACGGAATTGTCGTGTGCGCAAAGACGGTGGATGCAGGTGTATGAGGTGAGGTCGAATATGATGACGCGGCCGTCTGAGCCGCCGGTGATGAGACGGTTGCCTTCGAGTTGGAGCTGGCCCACGAGGGCGGTGTGGCCTTGGAGGAGGGCGAGGCACTCGCCGGTGGAGGCTTTCCAGACGCGGACGGTGCAGTCGAGGGAACCGGTGATGATGGTATCTGTGAAGCCGTTGTAGGCGATAGAGTAGATTTCGGCGTAGTGGCCGGAGAAGACTTGGAGACATTCGCCGGTTTCGAGGTTCCATAGCTGGGCGATATTAGCTTGTGGGAAGATGGGCAGAGCACGACTCACTCTCGCGGTATGATCATAGCTTCCACTAACAGCCCTACCGCCCCCGCCTTCCTCTCCCAGATCCCAGACCTCCACACACCGCACACTCCCCGCATGTCCCCTCAAAGTATGCAATTCTTCTCCAGTCTCCAGGTTCCATACGCGGATGGTATTGTCGCGGGATCCAGAGACGATGATGGGTCGACCGGGGAGAACTTTGAGACATCGGATGGTAGAAGTGTGGCCGGTCATGGTAAGGATACATTCCCTGATCTTTGTCAGCTCCAGCCAAAGATCAGTAAAGCAGACGTACCCGGTATCCACATTCCACACCTTGATATCCCTATCACACCCCCCACTAACCGCCATATTATAACCAAGCCCAGGCCAGCCTTTTATACTCCCAGTCACATCGCTCCCTCCTCCTCCTTCCCGCCTCTTTTTCCGCGTCGATCCCGGGGAAGGCGGAGGTGGAGGGGACGGCCGGCGATGCGAGCTGCTGCCCGCATGGGGGCCGGAGGGGTAATCGAATTGCCCGAGGGAAGAGTAGCCCATAACGCTGCTGGGTCTTGAGCCGCCCATGGGATTGCCCAATGGCGGTACTCTCTCCGCCGCTGCAACACCCGTGAATGACGATCTCCGCGACTGCCCGTTGTCCCTATACGCTCCGGATGCCGGTTGTGGCTGGTACCAGCTCGGCGGCGTCTCTGTCCCGACACGTTCGTCTGGCTCCTCTTCATCGTCTGCGACGTTTGCAGAAACGAGCACCATAGCCCAAACGCCTGCAGCATGCCCTTCGAGCGCTCGCATCCAGGCTCCAGACTCGGCGTTAAACACGTGTATCGCATGGTTGGCCATACCAACGACGATAAAGCTATCGTCCATACAGAGGCTGGTGACGACGCTATCGTCGATGGAGACGTGCTTGGCGAGCAAAAGACCACCAGTGGTCCAGTTGGTCTTTGACAGGTAAGAGAGCGCCACGATGGATTGATAGGTGTTGCCCGGTATAGGCAGCGGCTTGGCAACAGGGAGATTGGCGATACGCTTTTCGATCCCAAAAGGCGTGAGCCTCTTGGGCGTGCTGGACGAACGGCTCTTTTCCTTTTCGGCGGTGCGGCGTTTCATAAAGGGGCTGTAGCTCGCGAGGGCTGCTAGAGATGCGGGGCCGTCGGGGAGGTGGTGCAGGGAAAAGTGGTAGCGCCAGGTGGCGTCGTCTTGCAGCAAGGCATTCCAGTAGTGGGAGACTTGAGCGCACCGGGCCAGTGTTTTGGGATCGTCGACCTGGAAGCATGTCAGCTTGGGCGTATGGGAGACTGAAATGAACTTACAAAGCTCAGAATATGCAGTGACAATTCGATAGGCAGTTCTTTGAGAAAGTCTCTTCGAAGCAGAGGGGCGATCTTGCGGCTGACCAGCAGCGCTTCGTCTAATCGGAGCTCGGGGACGAGCGAGTTTAGGAAATTGAATCGCGCTGATGTAGGGAGTCGAGTGAATTGATACAAGAGGAGGTCGGTATCTGGATAGACCATCAGCGATATCACTATGATCAATCCAAGTACCCACCATGTGACGGTCGGACCGGCGCCTTGCCCTTGCCCTTTGCGGTGCTGTCGGCGCTCCTCTCATGCCCGGCACCACCACCGGCAGTAAACCACCCGCCAACATTTCCCCTCGGCGGCAAAGCCCCCTGCTGGTCGACCCAGTTCTTAAGAAAGTCATTCTCGAGCCCGAGGGATTCCAAGTCCATCCTCCCATCCTCCCTGCCGCGCGGGCCTGGACTGGGGGCGGGCGTCAGGGGGCCATGGTCCGCGAGGGGATTTGCGTTCATCGGTATAGGCTGAGGCTGCGCGAGTGATGGCGAGACTGGGGATGGTGTGGGGAGAGAGGGAGGAACGGGGCCGGAATGGAGGGAAGGGTCGAGGGTGAGGGCGGCGAAGGAGGGGAGGATGGGCTTTGGCTGTGCGTGGGCGGGGGAGGGAGAGGGGGGCTCTGCCCACGCTGATGAGCCGGATGACATGGCGGGGAGGGATGGTATGGGATACGGGAGAATGGGAGGATGAAAGAGACAATGGCGGGGAATCACGAGTTCACGCGCGCGCCCGGCCACCGGCGCTTGCAGGTTGCAAAGTCGTTGTCCAATTATTTGTCTTTCAAAACCTCATTTCCGGTATTGTTATGCATCATTCGTGGTCAGAATGGTACGAGGGACGAAGATTCACCATAGGGGTCGGGATCTCCTGCGAGTCAAGGTTGATGCACTTGGAGCCAAGCCCTCAAACCACCGCAGTTGGTCACTTTCCTCCAACCTTCTTCGAGGAGTTTGATGGGCACTCAGGTAAAGCCTTTCGGGGTGTAGCACATCGAGACCCTCAAAGACAGTAGTTGTATATCTCACTTTAGCTGTGGCCGTTACTCCTCAAGTCTGGACGGCGCTTTTGAAACGCAGGTGTGTCTCAGCTCAGTTTAAGAAGGCCGTCAACTCCCAATGACAGGTCAGTGAGTGAAAGGCTACCGTACTTCCAGAACTCTATACTTCGACATCCAATTGTGATGTGACTTTGCCTCATACACATTCTTGCATATACACAGTATTTACAACAATCGGCTCTGTTCCACTGCTGCTTTCGTTGACGGTCGCCTCCGTTTCGTTGCTATCGCCACATCACTGTGCTTTCCATGTTTCTAGTACCTGATATCAGAGAGTCATCTTCAATTGGACAAAATAAAGGAACTCACCGGTGCGTAAAATGTGAAGACGGCCTTGTTCCAGAGACTCAACGAGCTCCGCCCTGTCCTCAGCAATCTGCTCCTCTGCGGTCTGCTTCATCCTCTCTACTTCCTTCAAATCAGGATAATCTTTCAGCATCTCCAGATCTTCCTCGAATTCCAGACGGTTCTTTTGGTCATACTCGTCTAATGCCTTCTTGCATGCTTCGTCGTAGGCTTGCATGCATAGGTCCTTCTCGTGGCTCGTAGTGCAGGAAGCGGGTGAGGGTCCCTTGGCTTCGGAGAGGGTTGTGTGGGCGAGTGAGTCAGATACGGTGTCGACAGACATGATGGTGAGTGTGCGGGTACTATTCATGAAGAATAGGATGGGAGGAATAAAGTTGTGAGTCTAGAAGAAGTGGGAACAGGGGGTGGGTTGGGGAGTGTAGGAGGGCTAAATAAGGGGTCGGTTTTAATGGGCATCGGAGGGGGGCGGAACAGAGGGGAAGGCGGAGCACGGGACGGCGCAAAAGTAGGCTGGGGCACAGCCGGTACATCGCCCTTTCCAGGCGTAGACTTGCTCTCAAACATCTTGATGCAGTCGCTCGTCAGTTTCGGCGTGACTGGAGCTCCAGCGCCAGGTTCCCCTGCCTTGCGCGGAGGTTTAGAAGGACTGGGTTGAAGAGGATATCTTGCTGCACTAGCGTCGGAATGAGAGTGTATTTGGAAAGCTCCCGGTACGGTAGGGCTGAGCTGATGGCTCATGCCTGTCATTGCACTGCGCTCTGTCCTTTCACTGACTGTCGAGAGTCTAGAGAATTCTAATGCGCCATACTACTGCCTTTCCCGTCCTCGGGAAAACCCAGGCCAAGCCCGACAAGCGGCTGGCGGAGGGGCGTTGGCTGCCAGACGTTGGAGCCAGGGTCGGATGCGCCTCGGGTGTGAGTCGGGCGATGAGAGAGAGCTGGTTTCGGCACCAGGGAGCGCGTCGAGCTGTGAAAAGACGCCATCGTAAGCCGCGCCGATGGTCCCTTGCAAACATCCGGGGCTGTGATACCCCCTGAGAGCGGTGAGTCGCGCGAGGTGATCGCCAGGGATGCCCATGGGTGGATGCACAGACAGATACCCTGGCAAACAGGCTGCTCTGTGTACGGGGGGATCACTCAACATAGGGCGACGCGTGGGCGCACCCTCCTTTGGTGTGTGCCTTCCAGCGGGCAAACAACGCGAGCTGCATTCTATCTCTCCCTCATCTACATCTCTTCTTGCTCATCCTATCCACAACCAAGCCATGACAACCATCGACGTCGCCAGCCTATATCTCTGACAGTCTCTATCAGCATCTCGAAGCCCTCCAAACATCCCCACTCACGTAGGCACTCTCGACCGAACACCCTCGACGCTCAACAAGCGCTGACAGTCTAGCACAGCCACACCTCCGCCATCTGCTACCATGCACGCCCCCTTTCTCACCATTTCCCCACTTCAACAAAAGACATCTGTACAACCTATGCCGCCAGGGTCTCTTGCCTAGGACACGCTGAAAACGCTATCTGCCTATTCCTTGGTGTTTATCCCCATAGTTCGGCAACATCTCTACTCGTGCCTCACCGTCTCGGGCAATCCCGCCCTGGACGTCGCCCTCCCCGCTCGGCGCAATACCCACATGCTCAGTATTCAGCCACCGATCTCTTCTGGCTACCCCAAATTTTTCGAGGCCTCCATTGAACACCAGTGGCTGTGGCAGACGAAAGAGGGCGACGTCCAGGGGGGGATTGCCCGAGACTGTGAGGGGCGAGTAGAGATGTTGCCGAACTATGGGGATAAACTCCAAGGAATAGGCAGATAGCGTTTTCAGCGTGTCCTGAGGCCAGAGACCCTGGCGGCATATGTTGTACACATGTCTTTTGTTGAAATGGGGCGATGTGGCGCCGCCGGAGCTGTGGAGAGCTGGACACTGTCGGTAGGAGGCATGGAGGTCAGAGAGATGGGCTGTACTGAGAACGGGTTGGGGGAGAGATCACTGAATCATCCAACCTCCGAAACTCGCTCCAAAGCCGCATCCATAACCTCGACGCAAGATCGAACATCACGGTCGCCGTGGAGGTGCCATCCCCTTGTGCTGCGTGCGGGCGGACGTGGAGGAGAGCCTAGGGAAAAGATGGAGAAGGAGGGAGGAGGAGGGGGAAGGAGGGGAGAGGAGGGGGAAGGAGGGAGAGGCGAGAGAGGGAAGTGCATTGAGTGTCGACCGAGTGGAACGCCCAGGGAGACAGGCTTTTTGAGGTTGGGTGAAAGGGGATAGAAGGTGAGTAGTATTCTTCGGGCCAGCTTTGCGACGAGCTTCTGATACCATACCTCTAAAGCATCGAGATCGATTACGAGCACAAGCGGTGAATGAGTTGGTAGTGGGAAAGAAGAAGCGATTATTGTATATATTTGTTGTAGTATCACCGAACATGTATAGGAAATGAGATTGAGCTGAGTGGCCCATGGGAGATCGTGGTGCTGCAGAGTGTATCACATGTACAACCTTCAAGACCAACATCTACTTTACCCAATGTCCTGCCATATGGTGGAGGGAATGCGGTCTTCGGAACGAGACCAATTCTTCCACGGACGGACGAACTGACTCACTCCCAAGATATGTATATACAGAATACATGTACCAGCAAAGTCGTTTATATGTTTCTAACGAGAAGAAAGCGTCTCCCTCCTCATTCTCTCCCAAGCCTCATACCTCCCATCCTTCTGGGCACATCGCATCTCCACCGCCTGGCTCCAATCCCCCACAATTGGTATATTCTCCAAGTACTGGCTCCAATCGTGATCCACCTTAAGGTCCCCTTTCGCTTTCTTCTCACCATCCCTGGGGAAGTAAGCCTTGCGATAATCGAACGTGAAGCTGACGTCAAATCCCCTATCGAGAAGAAGGGTCTTGCGCTTGACCAATACTTTGAGTACACTCGTACGATGGCGCAAGGCGAGTGCCGCGGGGTGTGAGTCGATCCTGTACAGGGTAGCGATCAGGCGGCGGTATTCCGAAGACCCGGGTTCGAGGTGAGAGAGAGAAGAAGGGATCGGTATGCGGATATTGGTCTGCGCTCTCATCAGCCACCACCGATGTCAAAGGGCAAAGCACTTACCTTGATCATACGTTCACAAGGCCCATCTTCCCCAGGCCTCAAAAGAACATCCCTATCCAATTTTCCACCCATGCTCCACCTCGCCCCGACTTCCCCGCTGACCACCCGTTTCTTCTGCAGACTTCGAACCTTCTTACGGCCAAGGGCGCTGCGGCCAGAGATGGGAGCAAATGCTTCATCTTTCTCCTCGAATTTGGGACGGACGGCTTCGGCGATGGAGTGGAGGTTGCGTCGGAGCAGCGCGGCCCAAGGAGGAAAGTTGGTGGGGATGGAGATATCGGAAACTTTGGGATAGGCTGCGAAAATGCTATGTCGACTGTCAGCCTTGCTCTTCCTGCAGGGCACAAGGAGGCTTACCCTTCCCCTCGGCGCTGAGCATTGGCGAGCTTCTCCCGCCCGACCTGGACCAGTTCGTCTCCAGTGAGGGCCGAGATGTCGAAACGCCTCTCTGGGTCGATTGTAGCGATGTTGGTGAAAGTGGCTTGCATGATTGTGAAGCCGACCAGGCGGAGGTACTCCTTCACATCGGGTACGCTTGAGAATGTTTCAGCCCAATAAGCAATGTAATGTAAGGAATGAGACTTACTGGTCGTAGGAAGCATCGTCGGAAAGGTCGATGAGCACCGAATCGGCGGGCCACTTGACGGAAGGACTGGCCTCCTTCTCGGCTGGTATCTCGACAGGAGTGAAATCAAACTCCTTCCTCTCAGCCTTCGGAGTCGCCTCCGTCTCCATCACCTTCTGCTTCAACACCATCATCTCCCACGCCTGTCTCTGCTTTGGGGTCGGCTTGATGGTAGCCTGGCTACCAGTACTGTCGCTTCGGCGGAGACTCTTCATGGAACGCTCAAAAGACGGGAAGGTGAGGTCGGCGATGGTGAGAGGAATAGAGTCGATAGCGAGGCGAGCATCGGGGGCGTCGAAGATAGGGTGGACGTCGACGCAGATGGAGTGGCTACGTTCGCGGACCATAGTGTGTGCTTGGGTGACAGGTGTGTTTGGGGTGTTTACGCGTCGAGCGGTGGCGATGGGGATGAGATGAGATGGAGAAGGGCATTGTGTTGTGTGGCGGGGTTTATATGCCTGAGGCTCAGCGGATGTGAAGCATAGCGATGAGATGTCTTCGGATGAAGGTGTAGCGGGAAGAAGAATGAAGACAAATAGAAAAGCGGAAACTGGGCGGAAATGTATGTAGGCCTGCTTATGCGGTGGCGAATCGTGATCCCATTCCCTCTACCTGTTCACTACCTGCATGTCAGCTGCAATGTCTGCCGACGCTATCTCCCACTCTGTTGCCCAGATGACTCTCTCAGATGCTGCCGGCCAATCTACCTCCTCACGGGAATGAAATGTATCCATACTATGCCCCTTCTTTGCCATCTTTGAGTATACCCCAATATTTGTCTTTGCCTTGATCATATCATGTGGTGCTCCCGTCGTTCACATGGGATACCAGTGGGACTGGAAACATGGCGGGGGAATGCTTAAAATACGTAGGCTTGCTCGGCCTTCCTTCCGCGCGGCCAAACCCCGAGCTGGTAAAATTTTCTGGCCCGAGCGCCAACTTTTCAACGACGTTCATTTCATCTTTCGCACCTCATGCGTCCCAAATGCATAGCATCTCAACATAAGCGTCCAAGAGGTCAAAAGAGGAGCAAAAAGAGAAGCCTCCGGCGGGGCTCGAACCCGCAACCGCACGATTAACTGATGGCCCGTAACCGGTTCAAACAGACTCGATAAGAGTCGTGCGCGCTACCGATTGCGCCACGGGGGCTTTCATGTTTTGGTTGCTTCTGGATTAGAGGGGAGCTATGTCGGTGTGTACATGTCGCTGATGATGGGTCTTGGATCAACGTTGCCTTACCGTGCGGCCCAGAAAGAGTACTATATCAATTGAAATGTATGGGTTCCAAGGAGGTTTCACTCGCAAAAGTTAGGCCTCCTCATCCGGCCGAAAGCATACCCTTGTGGCCCAGCTAATCATCATTGGAATCACATATCGGTCAGACTTTGGGCTGAGCCAGCACCTCGTCTGTACCTTCGCCGCTTTCGCTCTTGTAATACTCCGTCGACTTCTATTTGAGAACACTACTCTCATGAACTGTCAACCCCGCCCGAATGTGATAGCCCCAGCTCATGAACGATCAAGCGTTTGGACCCGCAGCTCAGCGTACCGTCAAGACATCCGCCCATCAGCCTGGCATACCAGCCTCTCACAGGCGACGCAAGGTAAAGCACCCATTGCATACTAATACAAGCTTCCGTCCTACCCCTACCCTTCGTCTCTCTCCCCACCGACTGCCATCTCCCCATGCAACCCTCAACCCTCAACCCTCAAGCCGCCACCCCACTCCCCTTCGTAACGCTCTCAAGGTACAATGACCTGCTCCCCAGATTATCGGTACCGCCCTGTTGACGAGAGTACGGTGTCCATTTGGGTTCGTCTTGGAAGAGACGCATGGCGGTGATGGTGTCGTTGGAGTCGACGGTGAAGCGGTGGTAGATACTGGTCATAGTGTGTCAGCACGTGGGTCTTTCTAAGAACAGGAGAGAGGTAGATCAAGATGGAGGTGATTAGGAGAGAAAGAGGGAAGGAGGGAAAGGGAGAGGGAGGGAAGGAGGGACGTACCCAGGAGGAAGAACGATCAAGTCCCCAGCTTCCAGCCCGATCCTGATCCACTGCTCATCGTGGAATTCACCAGCGCCTCGGATATCAAAGTAGCCCGACCCAGCAAGGATGTACCGGATCTCTTCATCTTCGTGGAGGTGCCTACATACAAGTGTCAGTATATGGTGTTTGGCTGATGGGTGGGGAGGGGAAGGAAGAGCTTACTCGTCGAAGAATGATTTGATCTTGGTTTCGTATGACTCGCCGAGGCCTGCTGGCGTAACGGTAATTTGGTCCCTCTCCATACCAACGTGTATGAGCATCAAGCCCCTTCTCAAATAGGGCATATGCCAGAGGCAGCCAGAATGGGATGAGACTCACGTTCTTATAACCCCTCTCCTTTGCAAAGACATCGATACTGTTCTTCCACTGCTCTTGCTCATCGATGGGGATGAACTTGTAGGTCACCCCCAGCTTGGCGAGGATCTCTTCTGAAAGGTATTTGCCGGTATCATGGGGAAGCCGTTGGTCGCCTCTGCATGAAACGAAAAGGTAAGACACGAGTCTGCGGTTTTTGAACATGAAAAATCGGGGGACCGAGAGACTCACGGGATGTCGTCGTAGATGTAAGCCTTCATTGTTGTGCTGCTGCCTTCTGTTGTATGTAGTGAAAGGTGGAGGCGTAGGGGATGAATGGGGTAGATGGGATGAGAATGAGTGAGCGAACGAGATGGCGTCCATTGCAGCAGCGCTCGGAATGACGTGCTTGCGGACATGGCAAAAACAAACGTTTTTTTCCCTCCCCTTCTTTGCGACCAGATGACTTAATGCAGCGAAGTCAAAAAGCATGAAGCCCCCGTGGCGCAATCGGTAGCGCGCACGACTCTTATCGAGTCTGCTTGAACCGGTTACGGGCCATCAGTTAATCGTGCGGTTGCGGGTTCGAGCCCCGCCGGAGGCTTTCTTTTTTCACTTTTTTCCCCCTCATTCCATTCTCTCTCGCTCTTGCTTTTGTTTTTGCTTATGCTTTTATATTGCTTGGCGGATGTGTTGACGAGTATACTGTGGATGCATGGTCCTGCAGCTCTCATGTATACTGCTGGTCAATCTCTCTCAGAACCGGACGACAGCGCCGGACGCCGGTGGTTGTGTTTCTGCTCATCGCGATCGGTGTTCTCCTCTAGTACCTCTCTGTCTCTCGGGGGCGGCACCCTCTCGCTTCTCTCTTGCCAATGCATTGGTCATCCATGCAGAAGTAAGACTGCGCTACCCCACTCCCCCACCCCCCGACGTGTTCCAGAACCGACCTCGAAGCTCGAAGCTCGGAGGACGGAGGTTGGCTGACGGGGGAAAGGAGGTGCAGGCGCGCTAGTGTCTGTTTGGTCGATCCTCAGCTGATGTCGGATGGCGGGCACACCCACAGATCCCCGCCCAGAAGTACATATATAAGAGGGCATTCTCATCCCCTCCCCGTTTCTCCCATCTTTGCCCTCGCCATCCACCAACTCACATATCGTCGGGCTTATCCGCCTTCCTCCTATCTCTCCTCCATGCAGCTCCCAGTGGGGCCATCATCATCAGGATCGCTTACAAACAGACCGAAGCGGAGAATTACTGGCAGCACAGAACCCTTGACGTCCGCAACCTCGGGCAAAGAGACCCCGCCCATGTGCTGCCAGTAATTCTCCGCTTCGGTCTGTTTGTAAGCGATCCTGATGATGATGGCCCCACTGGGAGCTGCATGGAGGAGAGACAAGAGGAAGGCGGACATCATTGACGGCTGTCCCTCCCCGCTTCTTTGAGAGTCCTGCTGACTATCTCAAAGCAACCCCGCTTCAATAACAAGCTCCGCTCCTACTCTGCCGCCGATGTCGTCTCCAAGAGGGGCACTTTGAAACTTCTATACCCTTCAGACGTACAGGCGCAAAAGTTGCACAAGATCTTGGAGAGTAAGGCGAGGGGAGAAGGTGGTTGCTGCACTGCTACCTATGGAGCGTGAGTCGTCCTCTATCGATTGTTTGGTTCCAGCCGACCTTTTACAGTCTCGACCCAGTTCAGATCACACAAATGGCCAAGTACCTCGAGACCGTCTATGTCTCTGGCTGGCAATCATCATCTACCGCCTCCTCCTCCCTCGAACCCGGACCCGATCTTGCCGGTAAGCCCTCCTTGTCCCCTCTTAAAGACTCGGCTAATCCCTTCGCAGACTACCCTTCCAACACTGTCCCCAACAAGGTCGCCCCAATCTTCACCGCCCAACTGTTCCATGACCGCAAACAGCGCTCTTACCGCTCCCAGGCCCGCGCTGCTGGCGAATCCCTCGAGCCTCCTGTCGACTACTTGCGCCCTATCGTTGCTGATGCCGATACTGGTCACGGTGGTAAGTCCGCTCCCACCGCCAATTGAGAGCGATCACTGATGAGGCGCAGGTCTGACGGCTGTGATGAAATTGACAAAGATGATGGTCGAGAGCGGTGCTGCCGGTATTCACATCGAAGACCAAGCCCCGGGTACGAAAAAGTGTGGTCACATGGCTGGTAAAGTACGTCCCTCTCCCCTCTCTTCTCACCTTCCCAAGCTCACATTATACAGGTCCTCGTCCCCATCTCTGAACACATCAATCGTCTCCTCGCCATGCGCCTACAATGCGACATCATGGGCACCACCAACCTCCTCGTCTGCCGAACCGACTCTGAAGCCGCCACCCTCATCACCACCAACATTGACCCCCGCGACCACGCCTTCATCCTCGGTTCCACCAACCCCGACGCCGGCGAGCTCAACGAGCTCATGCTCAAAGCCGAATCTGAGGGCAAGAGCGGTGCGACTTTGCAGGCTATCGAGGATGAGTGGGTTGGCAAGGCGGGGTTGAAGCTTTACCCCGAGGTCCTCGCGGAGGCGCTCGAGGAGCAGGGTGTCGACAAATCCAAGATTGCCGAGTTTGTCTCAAAAGTCAGTGGAACGGCGCACGCTTCCCACTCTGCCACCACCGCCCTTGCCAAGTCCTACGGCCTCACCTCCCTCCCCTTCTGGTCTTGGGACACTCCCCGTTCTAGGGAAGGTTACTACCGATACCAAGGCGGAACGCAATGCGCCATCAACCGAGCTATCGCGTTCGCCCCTTACGCCGACTTGCTTTGGATGGAGACCAAGAGCCCCATCTACAGCCAGGCCAAGGAATTCGCCGATGGTGTGCACAAGGTCCATCCGGGGCAGTGGTTGGCTTACAACTTGTCGCCGTCGTTCAACTGGGAGAAGGCGGGGTTGGGGAAGACGGAGATGAAGGAGTACGTTTGGGAGCTGGGGAAGCTTGGTTTCGTCTTCCAATTCATTACTGTATGTCTCACCCCTCTTCTGCTTCTTTTGTTGCGAGTACTGACCTATCTTAGCTTGCGGGTCTTCACTCGAACGCCTACATCAACGACCTCTTCGCCAAGTCATTCGCTACCGAAGGCATGAAGGCCTACGTCGAACTTATTCAAGGACGAGAACGCGAAATTGGATGCGACGTCTTGACTCATCAAAAGGTAAGCTCCCCCTGCCTCTTATCCTTGTTGAGTTGCGCTGACAAAAAGTACAGTGGTCTGGGGCAGACTATGCCGATGCGATGATGATGACCGTCACCGGTGGTGTTTCTTCTACCGCCGCCATGGGCAAGGGTGTCACAGAGTCGCAGTTCGGTGGTGACGACAAGAAGTCTTCACATAAATTCTAGTCGTTTTTCTCTACTGTCTCTCTCTCTCGGGCTCAGTCGTCTTGGATCGGTGTTTGGGTGTATGATTAGGAAGAATATTTCCCATGCGGAAACAAAATAGGATTAGTGATTTGTGGCTTTATGAATCGTTTTGCATAGATACCTATACCTTTTTTCGTACTCCTCATCAATTCATCCCGTTGATCAACCCTCTTCCACCGTGCCCGAACAGCAATAGAAAGTCACTACCGATCAGAACGAGCTAGCCGCCGAGAGTAAGCTCAGGCGCAGGAGACAGCTGGCCTCGGTCAGCCATCGCCACAGCACGGAGAGACTTTAATGTTCACTAACGAAGGGAGGAGGAGTCACGGTTTTGGCTTCCTGTCTTCTTGTCTCATTATTTGCCTCTCGCGTAATGGTGAGCGGGTCGTTCTTTGTATGGTAGTCAAGAACAGCCCTGTTCTGAGGGCTGGCTGGCATCATCAGGCTGCCTCTGTAGGATGATGTAGTAGCATGTCACTTTTGAAGATATTGTCATCATAGCAACAAGCTTAATAAAGTCGCAACATCAAGATCTTATAGATACATCCAAGCTATCTCCATCTCTCTCCCGATGGCTCCAGCACCCATCATTAGTCTCTGAAGCTGATACTGTCATCTTCCAAAGACCGCACAGTAGTTGTCTGCTGCTATAGTTGGTACTCATAACAGAGCCTTCCTGTTCTTTGAGAAATTCAGACAGGTATGCAAATGGACCGACCGCGTTCTTCGCTATTGCGCTCGGGTTACGGTCTATCTGCTGGCGTTTGGACACACTAGTAGGAGTACCAAAAGTTGGTACCAACATCTGAGTGTGACTCTTGTGGTACTTTGAGCTCCGGAATACCATGTAGAAATATATCATTCCCATGTTCTTGCAGAGCGACTCATAGTGGGTCTTGCCTCGAGAGTCAAGTGGGAGCGCTGGTATCTGAATGATAGAGTGCTGGGTGATCTCGGCGAGACGCAGATGGTCTATGAAATGGCGTAAGACACGAAACATAGGTAGCCCAGTGGAGCGTTCTTCCTCGTTTATAACATGGACGAAGAAGCCCACATATGTCGAGACGTAGCCTTCCTCTTCTAATCGTTCGTCACCCTCGAACAGGTAGTCTCCCATGTATCCGCTCATTGTCATTTTGGTGAAACTGGGCAGGGTGGATATGGGAAGCTGTTTCATCAACCGCAGTATGATGGGTGGTACCTCGTCGTCCCAGAGTGATGATGGTGGTCTATTGATCCATGAGTGTCGGTGTCCAGTACGCACCCCCTTGAGGCGAGCTATTGGTATCATCTGCCTGGTACCGTCAGGCAACTTGTTGCCCTTTGGAACGTACACTAGAGGGGGAAAGTAGAAGCATATATCTCGAATGTGCTTGAATGCCTCCTCCTTTCTCCCGTTTGATGTCGAAAGCCCGTGTAGGAAGGATTCTACAGTCGCTGGGAGACTGTGCGCGTTCAAATACACTTTCTTGTAAAGCCTGGGGAGGAAGAAGTCGTAACAATACTTGCTGAGTGTTACGACAACTAAGGGCTTGAGGCGAAATAGTTCGTCGAGTATACGGTGGTGCACGGGGTGTAATGCCTCAAGGGTTTCGACCGCTGCTGACGGTTGGCATATGCGGCGGAACACTCCCGCCTCACTCTCGTACGCGCCGGTCTTGATCTCTGCCAGCCAGTAAGCACTTTCGCGAGTACCTAGATTTGCTCTTATGCTCACCTTTTTTCTTCCTTAAGGTTATCGGATATCCAGCAGTGGGCGAGTGGTGGCTATGGTTGGAGACATGTAGGGCCTCAAAAGTGGGAGTAACATCGCTTCCCTCCTTATTGTCAATAATGAACGCGAAAT